CTAGTTCTTCTATCTTTTTACATTATTTCATCAAATAGATTTCCTTAGCTGTTTTGATTTTTTCCTTAATTATTCGTTGTACTTCTTTATACTTATGTAGATCTTTTCCTTTATATTTCCTTCTTTCTTCCATCCGTCTGTCATCCACTGTTTTTTAGCCTCTAACCTATGTTGTATCAAACTTTTTTGAACTGGTTTCAGTAATGTGTTTTTTATATTATACCACTTTTTATTTACATTCATAATTTCTTTGTTGTCAGTTTTGCGTATTTTGGGTTTTTTTGCATATTAACATTCACATTTTTTTTTAATTCGTTTTTTATTTCTTCGTTTTTTAGCATTCTTACATTAATTTTTGGTTGTTGTTTTCTGAGTTCAATTCTTTTTAATTTTATTTTCACGTCAGCAACTAACGGATTATGGTCTGAGTTAACATCTGCTCCAGGATATAAGGCATCTATGTCAAACAGGATAAAGCTACCGGACCAGATAATGTGCCCACCGAATTATTAAAATTTATTGATGTAATGGTTGAACTGTTTAATCTAATATATCAAACTGCCACAATCTGCACACAATCTCCAATCGACCTCTGTGGCAATACCTAAAAAGTCAAGTGCAATATCCTGCTCAAATCACAGAACAATAGCTTTAATGAGTCACACACTTAAAACATTTTTGAAAATAATGCACAACGGAATTGTTAAAACTCTTGAATATGAAATTAGTGACACACCATTTGGCTTTAGACATGGTATCAGCATAAGAGATGCTTTGTTCGGCTTGAATGTGCTGGCCCAGAGTTGCATGGATATGAATCAGAGCATGTACTAATGTTTTGTAGATTTTGAAAAGGCATTTGATAAGTTTTAACATAAAAATCTTGTAGATATATTAAAAAGCACAAATATTGACAGTCGTGATATGAAAATTATATCTAGTCTATATTGAAATCAAACTGCCAAGGTAAGAGTTGATAACCAGATTACCCGAGATCAAAATACAGAGAGAAATCCGCCAGGGTTGCGTGTAGTCACCACTACTCTTCAATGTTTACAGAGAAACGGCATTTAAAGAGGCGCTCTCAGATTCACTAGAAGGTATATCTATTAATAGATAAGTTTTGAATAACTTGCGTTTTGCAGACGATACAATAATAATGACGTATAACAACAATGATTTACAGAACGTAATGCAACGACTTAATGAATGCTATCACAAAGATGGACTAAGGATGAATTTGAAAAAAACTAAATGTATGATCATGACTCAATCAGCAGATGCAAACATACAATTGATTGTTGAGGATACTGTAATTGACCGTATGGATACCTACAAATATTTAGGAATATGGATAACATCAAACGTAGACCAAAACTAAGAAATTAAGACACGAATTGAAATAGTCCGTGCATCATTCGTTAAACTTAAAAAGTTTCTTTATTGTCAGGATATACCTAAGGTTAGGACTACGCCTAAGAATGCATTGGTGTTACGTATTCACTACTCTTCTTTATAGCTTGGAAGCATGGACATTAAATCAAGAGCATCTAAATACGTTAACCGCCTTTGAATTTTGGTGTTACAGAAGATTTCTACGAATATCATGGACTCAAAGAACGTCAAACGCAGAAGTTACTAGAAGAATAGGAAATGAAGCTGAAATAATATTGACTACCACAAGAAGAAAACTTGAGTACAACGGCCCTGTTATGAGAGGGCAAAGATACTCATTATTGCAGCTTATCATGCAAGTTAAATTCCAGGAAAGCGAATTGTGGGAAGACGAAGAATATCGTAGCTGAAGCACTTGAGTGAATGGTTTGAATTCAGTAGTGCAGAACTATTTAGAGCAGCAGTCAATAGGGTCCGCATAGCCACGATGATTTTCAACCTTTGATAGAAGATGGAACTTAAAGAACAAAAAGAGCAGAAGAAGAATCCTTACGCATAATCCAACCAGCATGGAGGCCTACACGCTGCATAGCGTACGGCACCAGAAAAAGATATAGAATAATGGAAAAAACATTTAGAAAGAATATTGCTTAAAATAAGACGATAAAGTGTACCAAGACTCATCAAAAGATAAGTTAAACCCTTTAATTAACTACTATACAAATTTCGATCGTTTAAAACTAACTGGGATAACAATATTATTTGTAAAAATCGTTAATATATTACGAGACAAAAATTAACGTTTAAACAAACAATGCATACCTGGGAGCTCTATAAAGATTAATTTATTTAAAAACATTATTTTACTGTATTAGTTAAAGACCCCTTAATAGTCAAACAAAAAAGTGAGATTGCGTTATCATTAAATAGAAGCATACACATTTCACACGATAGATGGCACAATCATTTTATTAGAGTAATTAGCAAAACAAATATTACTAACTCATCTACAATGCCAGACTTAAAACACGAGCAATTAATAAGGATCTTTGTTGATTGAGCTTGTCATTTTTTTTACGACCATTTATGTATCAAATAATGGGTCTTAAACCGATAGAGACTTATTTGCTTCAGTATTCCATATAAGTTATTTTTGAAAGTAAACTTTGCACATTTCACCAAATATTGCAAGTTATGATGTGCTTATGTGGGGAATATCACGTACGCCGTGTGCATTACTTGCGCAAAATATATTTTTGCAGTTTTCCAAAAAAAAAAATGAGACCGTTTTGCCAAATATTTTCAGCTTAATACAATAATATGTATACAATCACAATATTTGCGTGCCTTTCTATTCACTTGTTCTGTCTATTCTAAATTAGAGGACGTACAAAGTGGATTCAGGAAAGGGCACAGCACACAAGACCATATATTCACCATGCAAAAAGTAATAGAAAAAGCCTTAAAGAAAAATAGAGAAATATATCTGAGCTGACTAAAAGATATATGGGAAAGCCTAAAGAAGAAGCAAGTAAGTGAAGAACTGATAGAAGCAACAAAGAGTATATACATGCAAACAACAAATACAGTAAGAATGTTAAATATACAGTCAGAACCATTTGAAACAACTCAAGGAGTTAGACAAGGGGGAAGTGTTAGCCCAGTACTATTCATAAATGTAATATATGAGATAGTGAAAGAATGTAAGAAAACATTCAAAAAATACTGCATCGGTTGGAACAGAATGCAAATGATAAACGCTGAGATGTGTATATTTGTAGACAACATAGTATTAATTGCGAAAACAGCAGAAAAACTGAAATATAACTTAGAGAAATGGAATCTAGAAGCAAGCAAATACAACTTAAACGTAAACAAAGAGAAGACTCAGATAATGAAAATATTACGGAAACAAGGGATGAACGATCAACAGAAGTAATGATAGACCAACAAAAAATAATACAGACAAATTCATACAAATACTTCAGTATTTGTAGTAATCAACAATTGCAGGAACAGTAATCAACAACAAAGCAGACATCAAGTACGATCTTAACAACAGAATGGAAAACACAGGAAAACTATTCCAAGCACTAAATAGAGGATTCCTTAATAACAAAGAAGTATCAACAAAGACCAAGATGACAATATACAAAACAATATATAGACCTACAGTGAAATATGGAGCAGAAAATTGGATACTAAACAAAAGGCATCAAAGCAGAATTCAGGCAGCAGAGATGAAATACCTCAGAAGAACGATCGGAGTAAAAAAAAGTGATGGAATCAGAAATGAAGAAATAAGAGAAAGACTCAAAATCAAGCCGGTACTCGACTCAATAAAGGAGAAAAAATTGGCATGGTTCGGACATTTAACCCAAATGGACAATAATAGACAAGTAAAAAGAGTGTGGAACGTCAAACCAATAGGGAAGAACAGAAGAGGAAGACCTATTAAAGAATGGAACAGTGACATCTCGCGATACTGTAGAGTAAGGGTAAGACTTGGCAGGAAACAACACAGATGGCATGCAATAGGAAGGAATGGAGAAAGTTCGTTAAGAGCTAGGAAACCTCAGAAGATTGTAAAATATTGTAATTTAATGAATTGTATTATAAAAGACCCAACACCGAAAGGTACAAATGGGTCTACTGATTGAGTAAGTAAGTAAGTCTATTCACTTGTATGAAAGTACTTTTCTCGAAATCCATTAATAGATTAGTTTAGAAAAAGAAGAAAAATATTTAAATCAGAACAACATAACACACAAGAATACGGGGACATAAAAAAAACTGTAGAAGATTGATAAGAAAGTACATAGAAACTTACTATAAACATCTGATAGAAAAACATATAGAGGAAAACCTAAATCTTCAATGAAAAATAATAAAGCATAACTTCTTTTTTAATGCCGGAGCTACTTTAAAGGATGAAAACTGATTCTACTTTTTTAAGTGCCGTCTCCCAATCTTAGTGAGAGCGCCCACCAAACTGGCGTGGCAAGTAGCACGTAGCAAGAAGCACGCGTCTAGCATGTTTCTTAAAATGTAACCAATGGAAACGAATGATTAGAATGAATGACGTCACTGTCATTTTGGTGTACAGGAAAAGCGCTGGAAATATATAAGCATCCAAATAATTGTCATCGGATAGAAAAAGGACTAAGAATTAACAAAACATGGATACCGATATTAAAATCAACAAACACCCTTCCCGCAAATCATGAAAAAGAATAGCTACAAACGACGACATGCCCCTCACGATGAAACCAGTGGAGGGGAGGTAAGTAGATAATATAAATATGACCTTCGTAGTACAATGCGGCGTCAGTTTCAGCTTACAAGCGAAGCAGTAACATCTCCAGAAGATGCCAACCCCTACTGTTGGCGAAACGTCGAGAACTAATCTCAGAAGACAACGGCCTAACAGCCCGAACAAACATTTTAAGATGTTAGACGATGGACGTGAAAGCCTAACGCATTTTATCGGCTGTTTAAGTTTCCTAGATCTGGAGAAATTTTATGTTACGCCACAAATATCCTGTATTTTGATTGTTTAAAATCATCTCAAAGTAACTATAATATGATATGCTAGCATTACTTACCCCCCTTTCTCTGGTGCAGCGCTCCTCCTGTTTCTGTGAATCCCTCAATGGTAGTCGTGTCCGGCATGTAGTGTGAATCTCTGCGCGCGCTACTGCGACGACTATCTCTTCGACTACTTGGTGTATTTAACGCTGAAATAAATAAACGGAATATGAGAATACATAAACTAAAAATATATTTAAAGAATTTTTAATAAGTATATCATTATTCACACTTCTTCTTGTAGTGCCTATCCGTTTCGGATATTAATGACCATCATGGCAATCTGTATTTTACAATGCGGCTCTAAAAAGATTTGTGGTTGTTGTATTGAACCACGTACGTAGATTTTTCGCGTTCCTGGTCCCCGTTTCTCTTCTTCTTTTCCTTGTAGAATTAATTGCATCGACCCATATCTTTCGCTGTTCCTGATGATGTGACCGAAGTATTCAATTTTGGCTGTGTTTATTGTGGTTAACAATTCTTATTATTCATTACAATTCCAACATTAAACATGTCTTGTTAAGCTTTAAACAGTTTATTTAAGAAGTTGTTCCACTAGTTGTTGTTTAGTCAGCAAAGAAAACTATATCCAGAGGATACCGTAAAGAATATGTCCCAGGTTGTAATGAAAAATGTGAGAAATTGTATGAAGAATACAACGAAAACCAAACCGAGAAAATGCGAACGAACTACTGCACAGTTTGGATGCAGCCAGACGAAAAAAATGGATGGGAATTGTGGAAAAATAAGACGTCAATAAATGAAGCAGAAAGCATGGTCTTTACTTAGAAAACTTGGTAGTAGCAGGCTCCCAACTAGAAATAAAGTACCAATAGCTCCCAATAGAGTGGCCTCCCACATTGTAGCAACCTCAAGAGCACTTAGAGATCGTGACACAAAACCAAAGTAAAACACTAAAGAACTACAAATACTAAAGTCTGCATGCCCGCCTACATCTGAATACTCTGACGAATTTACTCCAGAAGAAATTATTTCAGCAATATCTGAAATTAAGTCTGGAAAGGCACCCGGCTCCGATAAAATCCAACCAGAATTTTTACTCCACTGTGGCAAATATGCTAAGAAGTGGTTGGCTGATTTCTATACAGATATGTTAAGATCAGGAGAAATCCCCCATTCACTAAAAAAGGCCTCCATTATAGCCATATTAAAACCCGGAAAGGCAAATGATCAACTCCAAAACTACCGACCAATTGCACTACTGAGCTGTGTCTATAAACTATTGGAACGCTTAATCTACAACAGAATTAGTAGAAACATATTTGAATTGATACAGATTGAGCAAGCAGGGTTCAGACCTAACCGCAGCTGCACAGACCAGATCCTATCCCTAACAACACATATTGAAGCAGGTTTCCAAAGAAAGCAAAAAACATCCGTTGTTTTCACTGGCCCATCAGCTGCATATGATACTGTCTGGAGACAAGGGCTAATATGCAAACTAATCCGTGCCATCAAGTGTCAAAAGGTAACTAAACTCATTGGTAGCATGTTCACTCACAGACCTTTTCAAGTCACAATGGGCAACTTTAAAAGTATCCAAATGAAGCTCAGCAATGGACTGCCACAGCGATCTGTTTTGGCACCCTTACTGTTTAATTTATACATCGCGGACAACTTCGCAGAAATTTGGCATCGCTGACGACTGGACCATTGCAGCAAGAGATAATAACATGAATATTACACGGATGGCCTTGCCATTATGGGAGAATACTTTCGCAAATGGAGGCTACGGCCCAATGCAACAAAAAATCTAAGTGTGCTGTTTCTATCTGAATAATGCCCAAGCCAACAAAAAATTCTCCGTTCACTTTGAAAACACACTGCCCCCTCATAACTCAACGCCAAAATATCTTGGAGTGACTCTGGACAGAACATTAAGTTTTAAAGAACGGCAGCAAAACTTAAATCGCGAAATAATATAGTCCAAAAGCAATGTGGCACCACATGGGGGTCTTCACCTCCGTTCTCAGATCATCCGCCCTCGAACTTGTATACTCGGTGGCTGAATATGCCTCCCGGTGTGGCTCAATAGCAAACACAGGAAGAAACCCACAATGATCTCAGGTACAATTAGACCTACACCGAACTTCCCATTCTGAATCACATTCCACCGCCGAAACTGCGAAGAAGTCATTCTCTTCTCAGAGAATATAGAAAAATCGAGGCTAACAATCAACTACCCATCCACCAAGATAAGCCTGATATCGAAATAAACAAACTGTGGTCGAGATATCCTTCATTGTTAATAGCCAACTCCTTACATCAGGAACATTTCAACCTCACCAACGCTTGGGGAAGACAATGGCAGAGACAATGGCACCACAGGAATCACACGAAATGGCCTGTATCGATCAGAAACCGCCAGGCTTTGAACTGACCCGCAATACATGGACAACGCTAAACAGTATAAGAACAAGCAGCGATAGATGTGATGACAGCTTATATAGATAGGGAAAAGCACTGAGTGTGACTGTGGTGCGCAACGACAGACCGTCCCTCACATTGTTGAAGAATGCCCTCTAAGGCGATTCTATGGAGTTTTCGATGAGTTTCTGAATGTGACCGAAAATGCTTTACATTATATTAATAATACAGTAGATGTTTGTTTGTAATACTCCATGTAACGTTTTATATTGATTTTTAATTGTGTTCTTATTGTATGCCATACGATAAACAAATAAAATAAGTCAAGAAGTTATTCCACTATTTGTCTTTGCAGTATTAATCGGCACCTGTTTACTTTTATCTGTACAGCACAGGATATCCATTACAAGAACTCTGCGCCAGTATGAACACCACCAAGTCTCCTGATTCTATCCTTAGTATTTTCTGACCTATTACGCATAATGATTAGATTTTTAGAAAAAATGGCATAAAAAAACGACTTTCTTAACTTCCGCACATTCATTCAAATTCACAAGATTACTTTGAAATCTTTCTACTTCCGAGAGAACTACTAATAAGATTTTAATAACAATATTTAGTTTACCTTAACAGTATATTGAGTTATTAAAAGAATACAAAACCTTGCCCTTAAAGAAGTAAAAATGTGTAATATTCTTTCACGAACCTTGCGATTAGAAAATATTTGTTTTTTTAACATCGTAACTGCTATTTACCGATTCAGGGACAAGTATTTTTTAGGATATTTGCATTAATAGGGTCACAAGAGCAGTAAATACAAGAAAAGCTTTTAATTTTTTTTATTTATATAGAGTGAATGTAATAATTATTTTACCCTTAAACACGAAATACGCTGTTGAATAAAGTACTTCTTTATATATTAGATATCAAATATATTGTCGGAAATATGGCATAATGATAAGCATAATTATAGAACACTATTCATGTGACGATTCGGCTTTCACATTATAAATAAAGTGCAAAGAAAACAAAATAACTGTTCTTCTTCTTCTTCTGTTTATGTAAACATGGCTCTATCGGTTTTTCAATGTGCCTCCAGTAAGTTGCCGTTCTGTACCATACGTACGTAGATCTGTACCATAGTGTTTTACTATCAATTTTTCTAAGTGTTTTCATCTCTGCTCTTTCTAACATCTTTTTTTTTCCTCTCTGTCAGGTCTTGTTTCCGCTGCGTATGACATTATTGGTCTAATGACTGTTTGGCAAATTGCAAATTCTGCCTTTTATTTCTTTCCCGATATTTTTATTTCTCGATATTGCTTCATTCAGGCAACCTGCGGCACTATTTTCTCTATTCAATTGATCTTTTACTTCTGTTTCGAGCTTTCCATATCTAGATAATGTGATGCCTAGATATTTAAACTCCATTACTTGTTCTATTACATTTAGATGGCGACTTTCATTCAGAATCCATTCAGACAAGGTCCGAGTGTCAGCAACAACCCCTATTGGGATTCTTACGTTGCCATGCAGGATATATATTAAATTTTTAACAATAATGTAACAAATTTTGTAACTTTCTAAGGGTTTTTAGATCGTTATTCCTACCATCCACAGATAGTCGAATAAATGAAAAAGACCCAGAAATAACCAAAGAATAAGTGATCGCACGCAGTAAAATCTCAGAAAGATGGAAAAGCCACCGGTCCAGACAATATCAATGTCGAAATACTAAAACTAATTGCAGATAACGAAAGTAAAAGCCTAGACTTAATAACAGCACTATTCAATAAGATATATGACATAGGTAAAATACCAACAGCCTAAAATCAACATTCGTAGCATTACCAAAAAAATCGAATTCCTCACAATGCGATGATTATCAAATATTAAGCTTGATGTCTCATGTCCTTAAAACTTTTCTCAGAATTATCCATATACGAATTTACAAGAATTGCGAGTTCCAGATGAGCGACACTCAATTCGGATTTCGAAACGGATTGGGAACACGAGAAGCTATTTTTGCTTTAAATGTCATAACGCAACGATGCAGAGACATGAATGTAGATGTATATGCATGTTTTATTGACTATCGAAAAGCATTTGACTGCGTTAACCATCAAAAGATGATCGAAATTCTGAGAACAACTGGACTTGACGAACAAGACTTGCGAATTATCTCAGAACTATACTGGCACCAAACGGCAACAATTAAAATAGAGCACACAACATCCGAAGATATACAAATCCGACGAGGAGTGAGACAGCGTTGCGTCTTATCACCGCTACTGTTTAATTTGTATTCGGAGTCTATATTCAGAGAAGCATTAGACGAGGTCCAAGGCGGAATTAAGATTAACGAAATCAGCATAGACAACATCAGATATGCTGATGATACCGTCTTAATAGCAAGCAACACACAAGAACTACAAAATATAATAAATGCGGTAGGTAGTTCACCAAAGCGAAATGTTCGGTTTACATCTAAACGTTTTCAAAACTAAAACTTTAGTATTTTCAAAGACACCAATAAACGTATATGTGTATTCTTCTTCTTATGGTACCTGTCCGTTCCGAATGTTGGCGATCATTCTGGCTATGATGATTTTGTTGGTTGCTATACGAAATAGCTGTGTTGAGGTCTTTTTATACCATGCTCTCAGGTTAGTAAGCCAGGATATTCTTCTTCGTCCTGGGGCTCTTTTTCCTTCAATTTTACCCTGCAAAATGCATTGGAGTAGCTCGTATCTGGCTTGATTTC